AACTTGAGAATAATAGAAGGCCAAAATTAGTAGCAAGGACTCACATCATGAAACAAGATTTCCTTGTTTCCCAACATTTGTTGCATTTTACATTTTTTCTCCTGGCTCTTAAGTGAGTTCCTCAGTGCAGTGTTCTGTGATGTTCCCAAAACAGTGCATACATTAGGGGGTACAGAAGGAAAAGATGATGCAGTAGAAAATAATAGAGGACTCCCAAAATGCAAATCCTCTCAAAGGACCCTGAGAGTCTCTTTTTGTTTTGTTTTACTCATGCATGTGCAAGTCTTCTTGACACAGTGACAGAGATACAGATCTTCTGCTGGAATAAATAAAGCAGAAAGCAGCCTGGGGTCTGCGTGCCCCAGGTCACAGCCATGGCATGGAGCACCATGGGACAGGGGGTTACATCCCTCTGTGTAAAGAAAGTCCTTCATGTGTCCCTCCCTGACACTGGCATTGTCTTCAGTGAGCCCATGATCCAGCAGTATGCCCTTGTGGCCAAGAAGGCCAATAGTATCCTAGGATGCATTAAAAAGAGCATGACCAGTGGGTAGAGGGAGGACCTCTCTGTTCTGGTGAGAATACATCTGCAGCACTGTGCCCAGTTCTGGGCTGCCCAGTTCATAAAGAAAGGGAACTACTGCAGAGTCCAGTGGAGGGACACAGAGATGGCTGTGGCACTGGAGCATCTCCCATATGAGGAAAAGCTTAGAGTTGGGGCTGTGAAGAGAAGGGTGAGGAGGGAATCCCATCAATGCTTATAGATATCTGTTGGGCAGGAGTCATATGGATGGGGTTGGGCTTTTTTTGGTGGTTCCAAGTGATAGGACAAGAGGCAACGGGCACAAAAGGAAATACAGGAAGTTCCGTATAAACGTGAGGAAAAACTTCTTTACTGTAAGGGTGACAGAGCACAGGAACAGGCTGCCCAGAGAGACTGTGGAGTATTCTTCTCTGGACATATTCAAGACCTGCCTGGATGCCTACCTGTGCAACCTATTGTAGGGAGCCTGCTATCACAGGGCAGTTGGATTCGATGATCTCTTGAGGTCATTCCAACCCCTGCAATTCTGTGATTCAACAAAAGAGGAAGATGAAGGAAGGGGCAGGACAGATTTGCTCGAAGCTCTGCTGAAACAGCCAAGCAAGTGCACAGGAGGCGTGTGAGGAGGAGATGTGTCAGAGATGTAAGGTTTGGGCATGGCAGGAGTCAAGGACCCATCAGTGTCAGAGACCGCGAAGGGTGGTGGAGAGAGGAGCTGCTGGAGGAACAGAGACAAAAGTGTCTCTGCACAATGGCCGTGTCCCTGATGCCCTGCTCATTCCTCTGGAGACTAGCTCCCCGCTCAGTGTCCTCGAGTGCTGAGCTTTGTTCCCACATGTTCAGGGCATAGGTGACCATAAAGCAGTGTTACCTTTGCTCAGGAAAAAACTTTCATTAGCCCTGCTCCCTTTGTAACTTACTTTCCTCCCAGGGGCTGACAGAACTGCAAACATTTCCTCCTCAAAAATGGAAGGAAGAAGCCATGAAGAGACCATGCCCTGAAGGGAAATGATAAACAAACCCGTGACAGCGTCACCTCTTTGATAAAATGCTGGGAATGTACTATGAGGACACCTCAGCAAAACGTGTCTGGATAATAGCCCAGAGCAAGAGCTCCCAGCTCCCACGTGGGCCCAGCTCCTGGATTGTTCCACAGCAGCTTATCCTATCCCCAGTGAGCCATAGGCAGACAAGGGGCCGGGGGCTCTGCAGGATCACCAGGCAGAAGGAACAGGAGGACAGAGGGAAAAAGACCAAAGAGGAAGAAAAGCAACAGGGAGAATGCCCTAATGAAAGAGGATGAAACATGGAAGACAAATTAATCTCCAAGGCACAGAAATACGGAAGAGATGCATATGAGGGCTGAGCATAGAACAGGTCATGGGAAGGGAAAATACCAAAATGATTGAATAGCAAATGTTTTGTACAGTCTGTCTCTGTAGTACATGACACTATCTTCAGCGCACAACCTCTCCCTGCCCGCCCAGGGGCAGGGTGGTGCTGCTGCTCTCTCTGCTTTGAAGGCACACACAGGCTCCTGCCCAGACCTACAAAGGGTCTCCAGCGTGGGAAAGCTCTGCATTGCTACTCCTCACTTCCAGGCAGCTGGCAGGGGCCGGGCGTGCCCTATAGCATAAACAGGGAGAGCGCTCCTCCCCGGCACAACTCCTGCAAGAGGGAGGACCCACAGACTGCCACTCTGAGACTTTCTGCTCCCACTTATTCTTCCCTGGATTATAAATACATAATGTTTTTTACCCCCGTATTTCTCTTTGAAGCAATGCCTTGCAAGGGAATTCAGGACTCAATCCTAGGTGTTTGTTGGGGATTGTATAGCTCAGGGGAGATCATAGAATCGTACCATCATAGAATCATTAGATGGGCTGGGTTGAAAAGGACCACAAAGATCATCGAGTTTCAACCTCCCTGCTATGTGCAGAGTCGCCAACCACCAGCCCAGGCTCCCAGAGCCACATCCAGCCTGGTCTTGAATGCCTCCAGGGATGGGGCATCCACAATCTCCTTGGGCAACCTGTTCCAGTGCCTCACCACCCCTGTGTGAAAAACTTGCTCCTAATGTCTCGCCTAAACCTCCTCTGTTTCAGTTTAAAACCATTCCCCCTTGTCCTATCGCTATCCACACTTGTAAACAGCTGTTCCCCCTCCTGTTTATATGCTCTCTTCAAATACTGGAAGGCCACAATGAGGTCTCCCTCATTGTGTGAGTCTCTTTTTTTGATTCTTTTTGATTCTTCAAACCCATCCCCTCACATTGAGAATAGGATTCAAGGCTTTAAAGTCACTGAATTGAAATGAAGAAGAACCATTTCTTCAGGACCAGAGTCTCTCCTGCTTTGCTGCTTTCTGTCCCATGGGTTTTCCTCCCAGCAAACCCAGCCTCAATAGGAGGGAAGGTGGGAGATGGTCACCTAGAGAAAATGCTTGCACAGGAGGTAATCAGTGATCCCACAGGCCCTTCTCCGAACCACATCATGTATGGATGCAGGAGGGCTGAGGGGAGAGCCAGACTCTTCTGGCCAAGGCCAGATGTGCTGGTCGGGTAGCAGCTGTGCTGGGATGCACTGAGCTGTAGATCTCGTGGGGATCAGATGCTATTATTTCTGTTACTCCAACTCAGAGCAGGATTCTTAGCTTGACCTCTCCTCTCCCATCAGCTTCTTTCCTCCTGAGGGGCCAATAGCACTGTAAGCATTTCCTGAGAGAGCACAAAATATAAAAGAGGAAAGGACTCAGGCACGCAACAATTTGGCTGGAGAGTACCTAAAGCAATGCAAACAAGAAAGGGAATGCAAAGTTAAAGGGCAACAGAAACTTGCTCTTCTATGCTGGGTGGGGTTCAGAAGCTGCAAGTAAGCCCAGGAGGTTTAATGAAAATTTAATTGTTTTAGTGACTGAGCTGATACCAGCTAAGACACAAAATTCAGCTACTACAAGTTGCCCCAGTGACTCATACTGAATGGAAAGTATTACCCTGATCTTAGCCATGCAGGTTAGCTCCCCATGCTCTGGATCTGCCTCTCATGGCTAGAGCCAGTGCACAGTCATATTAAAAGCCTGACATGAAATGATGAGTTCCAGTGACAGATGCCTTACTGTGCTTGGTTCAGAGGGCAGGGAATCCTGGTGCAGACCTCACCAGGCAGCCTGCTGCATTCATTTGAACTATGACATCTTTAGCTCTGATAGCCTAGGCAGCTGGATCTGACAGAAAACATCCACCTGAGACCATTTCCCATTGATGGAGGCCAGAAAGATGAACCATCTATGTGGTTCCCTTCAGGTTCATCCAGAAAGGAATTGCCATACTCTCATATACAACCTGGAACAGTGAAAAACCATCTAGGACAATGCAAGCCTGTCTGGCAAGGAAGATGTCTTCCAGTAAGGAAATGAGAATAAGGAAAGCTTTAATTATGAAACTACATCAAAATTTTTCCTTAGGACAGAGGATGAGGTTTCCCTTCACAGTATAAACCAACAAACTCCTTTCAGTTATGATGCAAATGCAGCTTTACTCTGGCTCCTCAAGAAAGTTGATTTCAACCAACTTTATTATAGCTCAAAACAAACAAAGAAGAATATTTGGGAATTGAAAAGCCACATCATCTGTATGCCTTTTATTGCTCCCTGTAACAGCATTTCTAACGAGGGCAGGGAGGTGTAAGAGACTGTTGCTGGAGACAGAGCACAGAGACAGACACAGCTTTTGTCTGGTTCCTGTGCATTCTTATGTCTCTATGGAAATGGACATGCTACTACAAATGAAATAGAAATATAGAGATCTGTTGAGTTTCGGCTCCTGCTCAAGCCATAATCTCCTGGTTGAGGAATTCAGCTCAAGTTCCATCATCTCCAGGATATGACCCTGTCATACAGAGAGAGGACACCCTAATACATCTACACAGGGCTTCCAGCTTGCCCAGGAAGATTGTGGATGCCCCATCCTTGAAGGCATTCAAGGCCAGGCTGGATGTGACTCTGGGCAGGCTGGTCTGGTGGTTGGCAATGCTGCATATAGCAGGGGGTTGAAACTAGATGACCATTGTGGTCCTTATCAACCCAGGCCATTCTACGATTCTGTGATTCTATGATTCTATGACATAGACCTGCACCTCAAATTTCCCCACATACCTCCATTTAGAAATATGGCTGAGCCCATCATTAACACAGTCAGTGAAGCAATTCAGCCCCCACTACAATGGACTCACAAGGTGACCATTTCTCTAGGCTCCTTGACTGTGTTCTTTTAGCACAACAGAACCAGCATGCACATGGAGAGGAAACGGAGCTTGGAGTCCCTATGAAAGTAGTGACGGTGAGGATATCATTGTTTTGTCCTCTTCCCTGCTCACCCAATGCTCACTGAATGTTCATACTACCACTTGTCAGCCTGAGCAGGGTCATGGGCTCCCAGACCTCCCCCAGCTTTCAGTACCTTTATCTTGCAGCTGTGGACGGTAGGACTCAGATACAATCATCTCCTGCACAGATTGTCTGTGCTGGATCTATAAACACTCTTGTGCAATTGTCCCTCCGCTCTGTATCCCCTGGAGGCAGCATAGAGGTTCTCAGCATTTCACATTTTTTACCTGGAGGCACAAACACAGTCGTCTTCATCCCTGTATCAAGAGCATTCATCACTGTGACATGTTTTTTAAGCTCAGCTGCTCACCTGGACATTGCAGGGCTAGGCTGCCTGGCCTGACATCTGCTGAGCTCTCTTTCAGCCTCTGGACTCAGGGAAAGGAAACATGGGTTAGAGGTGTGGTAAGTTTTGACTTCATATCTTGCTGCTTGAAGATAAAGGAGGCTTTGTGTGCCACACCTATTAACTTGTATTTACTGAGATGCATTTTCCATCCTGACCATTCCTATGTCTTGTGTTTTGTACTAGGTCTCATGTCTTATATCTGGAATGGAGCTTTTCAGCAGCCACCACACAGAGCAACACAAGGGGGGCACCAGCTCACCCCACAGCTACCTCCTTGTGGGCTCCCACAGCAGTGCCAGCTGGGCTAGCAGGGGCAGGTAGGTGTCCTCACCTGTCTATAAGCAATTGGCAGGACACACCCCAGGTTCTAGGACTCTCCTCCTCTACCCTTAGGTCAGCTGCAGACACATACGAAGCGCAGGATAGCAGGGAATGTTTTGTTGATATTCCAGATCCAAAAAGATGTTTCAGTCTGTTCCAGGCCAGCAGCAGAAATGAGTAGGAAGTAAGTGCATATCCTAGAGAGGAAGAGAAGAAGAAGAAGAAGGGGTAGATGGGAAGTATGCAACTCCCTGGCAAGGCACTAAGCTAGTTTATGATCCTTCGGTCCCTCCTTTCTGGAGGCAGTCAAGATCAGGCTGGAGGGGCCTATGACCACCCTGATCAAGCTGCAGACATCCTTGTTCATTACAGGGGAATTGGACTACATGGCCTTTAAGGGTACTTTCAAGTTCAAACGATGCTATGATTCCATGATTCCATAACCAATTAAACAACTATCTCAGTCAGCATGTTTCATATTACATTTCTGGAAGTCTGTGCTAGTTGGCATCTTGAACCTGAGAGCTTATTCTTTTTGTCACCTTCCATCCATTTATTTCATTTTCTTCCATTCACCTCCATTGACAGAGCCTGGGTCAGCCCCAGCTGGACAGGTTCTGCTGGGGAGGTCCCATGCTAATAGGCATTTCTCTTCAGACAGACATTGAAGAGCAACTATATCAAGATTAAGTAAAAGGTGTCTGCTGGAGAGATCTCACCCAAACTAAAAAGCTGCAGATCATGTGAAGGCTTCAAGACTCTTCCTATGTCTTCTGCTGATCCCCATGCTCTTTCTGGACAAGGAAATGTGCTGCAGAAATGAGCTGAGCCAATCTGTTCCCCAGTGTGGCTGTGAAGGAAAACTGTTCTTCACTGTCAATGTCACTTAGCCTCAGCCAGTAGGACAGTAGATAAATGATGCCCAGTGGCCATGCTCCAGAGGAACAGGCATCCTTCACACTGATCAGCAGAGAGAGCTGAGTTTCCTACTTGGTCCCTGGGATTCAAGCCACATGCACTGGCAGAGCAACACAAGCATATCATAGAGTCACAGAATCCTCAGAGTTAGAAGGGACATTTAAAGGCCATCTACAGCTCAGCCAGCTGCTCAGAGTGTGGTCCAGTCGGTCCTTGAAAGTCTCCAGGAAGCAAAGCCTGTGAAGGTTGGAGTTGCAGAGTCACTGTCCTTGGAGTTTTCAAGAAATGTGGAGATGTCACACTGAGGGACATGGTTAGTGGGCATAATGGAGATGGGCAGATAGTTGGACTAGATCTTAGAGGTCTTTTCCAACTGTAAAGATTCAATTATTTATTGATGGATTTGGGATCCAAATCCCATTTCTGAAGTGTGTGCAGTACTGTTTCTCCCCTTGTGCTTTTATACTGGATTTCAAAACTTGAAAAATTCCATTTCACCATTCTGTGTCTTTTGGGTATGTTGAATGCCCACTCTGTGCAGCTGATCTTCTATCCAAGGTGGATTTATGAAGCCCTGATGCTTCTGATTGCTGACGTTTAAATCCACTGGAAATTTTAGGATCGATGGATCCAAACCACGCTTTTATCCCTAAGCTTATTTAATGAGGGAACTCCTCTTTTCATTCCTCCTTCTGGCTGCTGTTAGAACACTGGGGGAAACCTTAAGAAGTCTCCTTAATGTTGCAAGTAGAAAAATATCTTCAAATATTTCTTAACTGAATTTTAAATACATTTCTGCACTCTCACTCAATAAGGTTAAATACATTACACGTGCTGCAAAACTTTGCTGTCAGGAGGTATCAGCTACTTCTTAAACAAAACCACTGCCCTTTAAAATGATTGAGTTTCTCTCTGTGTGTCTTTCCCATCTTTCTGCTATTGACATTTCCTTTCCAGTGTGGCTCTTTAATTGCCATTATATGGCTACCCACAAAAATATTTTCATTTTGATAAACTCATCTGGCTGCATAATTGTTCTCCAACCCCCTGGAGTGAGATGGCAATGCTCATTTCTTCAGCTGAATTGCAGCAGTGAGAAGCCACACGACAGCAGCTAGGTTGCATCATTTGCCCTGAACTCCTTCATTCTCCCTCACTTACACACTGCATCCAGAGGAACCCTTCATGGGAGTTGTTGCTCCTGAACTGGAGCTGAATGGGGCAAAGTGAAGAGGAACTTCCTGCTCAGAATGGAATTTGTGCTGCCAGGAAGGATTTTTATTGTACTTCACAGTAAACAATTAATGAAAAGGTGGCTTAATGAAACACACATCGAAGGCACCTACAAGCCTACAGAGGCTCCTACGTGGTGGTGGTGGGTTGACAGTTGGACTAGATGATCTTTGTGGTCATTTCCAGCCTTAATGATTCAATGATTCTCACAATGATGCCCACAAGCTCAGAAACCCTGGACACACTAGAACCAGTTTGTGCTAGAACTGGGCAAGTGCGCTAAGACTGCTTTCTACCTTGAGGTACATGATGAGGGCAGAAACCTGGGGCTCATGGAAGTCCAAGCATGACATGAGCATGCAGAACTGCCAAGGACATAGAGAAGACAGTCCTTGCCAATGACGCCTCGTCCTTGCCAGTGATGTCCAACAATAGAGCCTCATTTTCTCCTCTCCATTGGCCTGTCTTGAGATAGCAGCCTTGAAACAGTTTCAGGTATTCTCCCACACGGTGACCTTGTCTCAGTCCCACTTTCTCATAGAGTTACCAGGTATCTCTTTTGGATGGAAGAGGATGACATGAACCAAGGGGAAGGTGGTGGGAAAAAGGGAAGAGAGCAAGCAGCTGAAGTGTCCATGCTGATTCTTTTGGTCCTAAGTGGAAACCTGCCCTGGGCCAGTGCCACCAGATCAGCCATGTGCCAGCCAGCTCCTGAATCCCCAGTACTCACTGCTGGCAGACGAGAGCTGAAACTCACTTTGGGATAGAAAAGCAGCGCAGAAGTCAGTGCTTTACTCCTGTCCCCACTACAGCACCTGCAGCAAAGAACTCAGACTCAGCTGACAAGAGGAACTGAACTCCTGGCCACTATTCCTTATAAATAGGTTTTAAAGCCAGAGGGGACCTTTCCTGTCTACTTGACCTTCTGTAATATAGATGTCTGGGAATTTCCTCCAGAAGGACTTGCTCTTGGAGAAGGCCTTGCTGTTTAAGTGAGACACCTTTTTGCAAGACAGCCAGTCTTAATTTGAAACCCTCACACAATAGACATTCCACAGCATCTTTGTTCTAGTGACTAATTACTCTCCCTGTCAAGCATGAATAGTTTGAATTGTAGATTTATTTCTTCCTACATACTAAGTATATTTCAATAGCCTGATGGTTGGAATTCTTCTGACCTAAAACCTAGCAGTCTTTATTTGGCCAGATGAGTCTTAAATTCTCCAAGAACTGCAAAGGCACAGTATTGAGAAAATGATGATTCGTTGTTTTGTAGTTTAGTCACAGGAAAGGGAAAAATTAGAAAAAGGACAAAAATTAAACATTAGGCAACTAAACTGAAAACAAACAATCACAATTTGCAGCAACTTAAGGGAGCCTACTGCCAGGGATGCTGCTGACTGCAATTAACCTTGTTTTTTCTTCCCCACACTCAAATAGTAGTTCCTGAATCCGGCATATGAAACTACCCAATGCAGTGCTTTCTTCACAGGGTTAGCAAAGAGTTGCCCCATGAGTGGATAATATGGGCAAGACCTTTTTGGAAAGGGACATAAAACTACTTAGTTCCCATCCACTCAACTTGGACTGAAGGTCTGCTCAGCTGCACTTGGCACTCCAACAGATCCCCAGAGAGAAGACCTACGCAGTGGGAACATGACTAAGACAAAAGTTAGTCAAGACTTGACCTGAAAGAGGTTGGTATTTTGCTACAGTTTTACTAAGGATTCCAAAATAGAACGCTGAGGCAAAAATAAGGCAAAGTTATAGAAAAAGGCTCAGATGGAAGCAGGAGGAAACGGTACAGAGTACATACTGAAAGAAAAACAGCAATTCTGGAGTCCACAGTCATCATGTTTGTAGTAAGAATTTTAACTGAAGTGGTGGAAGAGTGAGAAAAGGACAGAGAAAAAGGAAAAGTGATCCCTGCAGCTACGTGAGTTGATTGCAACAGTACACAAGGCTTTTAAACAGATTTTGAGGGATTAATTTTCAAGACAGAAATGGAACAAAGCAGCAGAAATGGGACAAGTACAGAGCATACTGAACAAACAGATTTCTTGCTAAAAATCACTTGATTGCTAGTTGGTGAATTAAAGGAAATCACATTAATCCAACCTCACTGAACTGTTCAGATGGCACTATGTGGAAAGCTATAGACTTTTTTCAAGTCTGTACAGCTGACAGAGGAAAAACACAGCAGGACATAAATCAGGAACAACACCTGCATTTACAGAGCACATAGGCAGGAACGACTGTGCAGTTCTTTGAGCAGTGGGCTCAGGTCTGCATTACTTATGTTCTCTACATTGTGCAAGGAAGTAATTAGCTCAGGCACTGCATCTTCTCCTACATACCCCCAAAGTGAAAGGAATACAGCACCAGCAGTGCATATGGATACACTGCCTGAAGGGTTAATTCGCTTTTGCTAATGCAGGCTGCAGAGAGGAAAGGGATTTGAGGAAGCTTTTGTTCCTGACAACTTCCTTTCCATGGCAAAGTTTACTGTCCAGAGCTTAAAAATAAAACAGGCACTGCTGACATCTTA